CCCTATTTTGGTTGAAACATGTAGTATAACTCTTTAGCAACTCTTGTACTTTTAAAGCTTTTTTAGCTTCATTTTATATTTTGGATAAATAAAGCAGTTTTTTCCTGCATCTTGAGTCCGGCTCTCTTTTATTATATTATAACAGTATTATGCTATATTTTTGCTTTTTATTATGCTTGTAGATCTACAGCCACTTTCTCCTATACGTTTGCCGTTGTCTTGTATCATATGAAAGGAATATTGTCTGGGATATTCCTGGAGAGGGCTACCACTATCTAAGAAGATAAGTGTGTTTTTTTCCATCACATTATTGTATTTCTTATGTGTTGGATATACCTTTTGTGTGAATTTATACACTTCATATAAGACACAATGTCCACCTACACACTGAGGAAGGAGGCTTTAATTATAACATTTAAGTAGTATAACATTTAAGTAGGAACCTCTTGTCCACTGCCAACCCCCTCCAATGGGAGTGTGTGGGAGCTCTAAGTAATTATACAATGGGGTGTGGACATGCCATTGTCCACCCCTTCAATTAGTCAATTAGTGGCATGACCAAAGTGGCTAGGGACCCCCAATCCCTTATTAATCCCTTTAAAAATAAATATCCCTACCTATCACCTTACTATAATAATAGTGAGGGGAGAGCCAATAACACTAATACCTGTGAAAGAAAAAAATATTTACTTACTTTTAGAAATCTTCTTTCTTCTAACTCTTCTTTTCTTCAGCCCCAACAAAGCCAAATTAAATGTATAATTCCCAATGCAACAAATGAAATTTTGTTTACAAAAAAAGGATTTTCCAAAAATTTTGGGGAAAAAAATTAAAAACATAAAACAATAAAAAAAAGAATCTACTTTGCCCTGTGAGGCCTGCACACTGTCTTAGCTCTCATAATGGAGAAAGCCTTTTTAAGGATTTTCCAATGCTAAGTAAGCTATTAGAGATGGTGACTACCTGCCCAGTCGCTAGTTTTAAATGTTTTGTAGACATGCCCCACACCTGCTGTATGTTTTAAACTTTCCATATAGTCATGTGCGTTGCTAGGTTGCCGGCCCAAAAGTATATTTGATAACCTCCCTTACAGTTTACATTAAGCCTGTCCAATACTCCACTTTAAAAAAAAAAAAAATGCAAAATGTTCTATATAAGTGCACACAATGTATACATTAATCTGACACAATGATGCACACATTCTTACTTGCTCATAGACACAGTTACACACATTCAAACGATGTTACATATGGAAAGGTACACTGTTCTGGACTAGTAACTGGATGAGACACAGTCTTGGAGGTACAACAACATTTTATTTGCCACACTTGGCTTTTATGCAAAACCCCATGCAAGGAATGTACACCACACAACGACAGTGTCCCCTCCCAGGGTCCTCCCCCTCCCAGGGGTCGTATTGCAGAAACAGAACTCCAGTCTCTTTGTCCCCTGTTCCCGCTCGCCAACCATGGGGCTTCCCACTTCTGGTGACAGGGGGTCTTCTACCCAGGATCCCCTTTGTCCCCTGTTCCCACCACTTAAATGTAGGGTCTCCCACTTCCGGTGAGAGAGGTCTTCTTCCCAGGATTCCCTTTGTCTCCTGTTCTTGCCACCCAAATGTAGGGTCTCCTACTACCGGTGACAGGTGTCTTCTTCCCAAGACCCTCTGTACCTGGAAGTCACAGCATGGGAAAGCTTTCCGCCTCCTTGACTCCCAGTTACAGAAAGCCCACCAAACCAGCCATTGTCCCCAAAGGATGCCCACACCAATACCATAATGGTACCTGCCTCAAACAGCCTCCATTCACGGGGTCCCTGTGTGAAACCCGGCAATGGAAGTGTCTCCTTTCGGCACCAAAGGCAAGAAAACATTTTGCAAAGAAAGATTGAGTGCTAGAGTGACTGAGACAGAAATCAGGAGATAGAGCATGTGAGAGTGATGGAGAAAGAAAGTGTAAGAATGACACAGAGTAAGTCAGCATGAAAGAGACATAAGGTGAGAAAAAGAGACAGTGTGTGGGCATGAGAGTGAGAGAAAGAGACAATGTGTGGGAGAGAGAGAATTGTGTCGTAGAGAGCTTGTGATAGAGATAAAGTGAGTGGAGAGAGAGAAAGTGAGTGAGAGAGAGAATTGTGTCGTAGAGAGCATGTGAGAGAGAAAATGTGAGTGGAGAGAGAAAGTGAGTGAGAGAGAGTGAGTGTGTGAGAGAGAAAAAGAATAAGTGACTGTGTGGAAGACAGAGTATGTGAGATAAACAGAGAATGATTGAGTGTGTGATTAAGAATGAGTGAGAGAGTAGGTGTGATTGAGATAGTGTGTTGTCCATCACAGCAGCTCCAACTGATTTGAATATCATCTATGCTACTTATCTCTGTTCCATGTGACATCAGTAGTCATATGGTTCCTGTGACATCACAGGCACGCCACATGGATGGGAACTAGCCACTACTGAGAGAAGCCTGAGCAACTCTTGGGCCAGGGCAACTGCAGTTGGGTCACTCAGGTTGGTGGTAGTTCTCTCTATGGTCCACCCCAAGCTAGCCTGCGCTAAATGAGGAATAGAATCCCCCTAACTTTCTGGTTGACAGTCTGGAGATGTTACTAAGGGGGAGTTATAAAAATAAAAGCAGAGGATATGAAAACTCTGAAAACAGCCAAAAGCTCAGAAAAATTCAATAGTCTGCCCTTCAGCTAATTTCTGCTTACTTGTGGCATTACAAAGAGAACCTATACCATTTGCATATCAGACTGATGCCATCCATAAGGGCAATCTGTACCTGAAATGCAGGCAAGTTTCCACTGCACAAGCGATACATCAACAATCACTTTGGCCTTCTTTCAGCTTTGTCAGTGGTGTAGCTGACAACCGTCTAGGTACAGTGAGCATGGGGTCCACGTCTGGATTACCCTTTTAACTTAAGGATACCCTAAGCAAACTATAAAGTTATAAAAGTGCAAATTTCTCTTGAAATCAGAACTTTTATAAAATAAGACAAAGAATACAGCCAGTTAAAGGAACACTCCAAGCACCATGTGACTGCTCCTTTACTCCGACCGAGAACCTCTGCCCAGTCTGCTTCCTAGCCACTTGCAGGAACCCTGGAACGCTTCAGCCCCAATCACCGAAGCTTGACTGGGCACCCTCTGGAGCTTTTCCACCCAACCAGGCTGCAGCTCTCCTTCCACTCAGATATAGTCCCCTCTGTCTCTTCCGCTGCAGTCCTTCTTCCAGGCAGGTATCCACATCCATCTGCATTGTTATAGCTCTTGTCTTTAAAAAGACACTTGTGGCTCCCAGGTCTAGCTCTCTTACTTTATCACAGGGCTAGAGGCACCCCACAACCAGCAAAACAGGACAAAAGCCTCTGTCACTGGGATCTTTACAAATCCACACAGGACACAAGTTCCAAAAGGAACTGACATACTTTTTTTTTTCTTGGGACTAGCCCATATGACTATTAAGTAAACATTGCTGTGACAACTCAATAAAAATACAAACAGTCAAATCATAGCAGACAACATACAGCAACTTATTATAACACAGTGACATATTTATAAAGGGGTGGGGAAGACAGTAATTAACAGAAAATATTTGTCCTGCCTGCAGAATTAGCAATATGCAAATGTACCCAAATATGCAAATTTACCAGTCTTGCTATTCAGGTAGTGCATATTGCTATTGCTACCAACATAGAGCACTACACAGGCACCATAGCTAAATCCACCTAGTTGGTAGCAATCCTCAGCAGTACAGGAGAACAGGCAAAACATTTAACAGTATAAACACACACTTTATAAACAATTACATTACACACACCCTGCACCTACAGTGGGTACAGGGTGACTAAAACATAAGAAAGTCCAGCAACCTACATAAATAGTCTGTCTGAAGGTCCAGGTGATGGCGACTACCCGTCACACACCATAAGCAGTACAACTCGCTGTTGTAGTTATGGTGTCAGAAGTGCCCCCATGGCCCCCAGACAATTGTAAGTAGTGAAACAATTTTTGAAAGGTTTGACTTCTTACTTAAGGTCTGTCCCTGTGGGCCGTTAACACTACTATTGCCAGAGAGCTGGACGAGCACTGCAGGGCTTAGCTGGTTGACTGAGAG